TCTTTCTTTTACGCACATACACTCTGCCATACACACATTGCGTTAGCAATCAGCTGGTTGCAGTGTCCGACGGCCGGCGATCCGCAACAACTTTTGTTAAAGTGACGTTATTTTAAGAAACACGTATTCTTGACATAATTCTGAAATATTTTTTTCTTTACCAAAATTTTATTTAAAGCATAATTTTATGTTGTAAGATAAAATAGTTAGCGACCCATGCGGTGGTAATGAGACGGTCAGCTGTGTCGGGCGCTCGCGGCGCGCCGCGCCGCTCCTGCCTGCCTTCTGTATTCGACGCGTGATTTGTTAACTATTTTTGCTTATAACTCAAAAATTACGCTTCAATTCAAATTTTGGTAAAGGAAAAATCGTCTTAGAATTGTATCAGGAATACGTCATTTCACGGACGGAAGGTTGTTCCGGAACACCCTGTATATATATGCGCAAAATCAACAATCGTTAATCGAGTAATAAATCGAATATTTTACTCTTATCGAGCTTTTAACTAATAAATTAACGCCGCGTCTCTTGCATTTTCCTTTCTTTTTTTTCCTAATTTACAATAATTACATAATGTCAATTTTTCCTAAGATATGCAATGAACGTTAAAGTACAATACGATATAAACTATATATATACGAATCTGTTAATATACATACAATTAATTCGAAATAGTCATCAATAGCACTTGTGCGTAAGTCTTTCATGAGCGTACGATGGAAAATCGTTCGCTGTAATGAAAGAATATCGATACGAAAAACATAATTATAATCGAAAATTAGGGTAAATAATTAAGTGAGCTGTAAATCGCACATATAAAGTATATCTTAAATTATGAAAGCAATAAAACTGAAATGAAGAATATATATAGCCAGCGTCGTATAATACTCGCTATCGGTGTACGTTAGTATCCTATCTTCATCGAAGTGTGCAAAAATTAAAAACGATTTCACGAAATGTTAACAATATCTTTAACAATTTGTCACAATTTAGTAGACAAATGTTGGTCCTTAAGCAGGATCGCATAGTTGTCTAGAGTTTTTAAGAAACTCATGCGATTTCTCGAACTTCAGATTCCATAAAGGGGAGAATAGCTATTCAATTATATTCACACGATACTCTACACATACCCAATCATAATTAGACACAGTCCATTACTATTTAGTAATGAAAAGAAGATTACAAAGAGAGGGGGGGGGGGTAATCGCGTGGCACTATTTCAGTATGGCCTAAGTTCCTATTCAGATTTTTCTATTGACTAGACTCGAAGTTTGTTCAAATTACAATAGCGTTTGCAATATCAAAGTCATTCTACATAGTTTCGCAGGATGTAGAGTTCCCCTTATTGTACGTGACGCCTGTCATTTTGCCGGAGAATCAATATTCCATTGATTTTCTGTTTGGGTAACGAGAGAACTCTTCTATGTCATTCGGTTACACCGCAGGTATGGCAAATTTCGTTACGTATAATCAAAGCTTACTCTTAAAGCAGATATACTGCGTGCAATATGTATCAAGTTCTCCTTACTATACAGCACAAACATTAGTATATAAAAGCTAGACTCTCCAGAGAGAGTTTAGGATACATATGGGAAATTATTCAGGATATTAATGTGTAACAACATTTTCGGATGACTGTGAGCAACGGTGTAACATATGATCGATACAAATAATATTTGTAAATATGATAAGACTGCCAGAATTTCTCTTTGTCTCTCGCGTATATCCAGCAAGCTCGTTGCAAATAACTTTGAGGAAAAGATTGAGTTTCTCTTCGAATAATAAATATTAAAACGCGCGCGATCAATAAAATATAAATGAATGATTAAAAAGTTAAATTAAGAAATATCGGTGCTAGAAACACTTAGTTGTATACATCACGTGTTTCGGCTAATCAATAGTGGCTGCTGACCAATAGCATGTGCCCGTTATATATGGCTCCGTGCAAAATTAGATTCACACGAAAATATTTTGCTTCCATTAGAAAAGAGACTTGGTCTTATTCCTTAATACGGTCAGCAGCAGTTAAGTTTCATGCCACCTTTTTCTTACTGGTCTTCTTACTGCGAGGCAAAGTAGCAAAACTCGTAATCTGAAATATATGAAAATATCATGTCTTACCATTTTTATTATGAAATTCAAAATTGGAATATTGTCGATCCCTTTTGCCATTATTTTCATGTTTTAATAGTAATTGATCAGTAATTGGTAAAACAAGAGGAGCACAAGAACATTATCTTTTAAACAAAAGTTTAAAAGTTTCAATTGAAATTTAGTTTAATATGCATCTCATTTATGTTATATTAAGTTAATCATTAAAGTAGTTTAAATGAGAGTTAAAGATTTCCAATCAATCAAATAAAAAGAATGAACTAAGTAAATTTGTTTGTGATTCGAAAGAGTTATGGATTAATTGCATTAGAATTCCAGATATTAATATCATGCAAGGTTAGTGTTATGTGTTATGATTAATGAAAATGGAGTTAATTATGGACAATTATTAACAAGAGACACTCAGAAACTAGTCCATACGATCTTAACGGATCAGTCCATTTCTTCTGCCCGGATTTCCAATTAGGATAAAATATTTATGAAATATGGGGAAATGGAATAGGAGAAGGAACAAGCTTTTTTTCTTATATCTTAAAGATACTAGCAAAAGCAAATACATATGATTTTGCGATTAAATAATCTCTACAAAATGATTTTAAATAATATCGGTGATAATCTCTGTTTTGCTACTGTGAGGCAGCGATTGTGACATCTCACAAATCTCCAAATTGGATTTACTTTCAAGATTCTTTTCATAATTTTCAAAGTCCTCTATATTTCTTGCATCGTTTCGAGTCTTATTATTTTTAATTTTATTGAGATCTTTTTCATTCAATGGTACGATAAGAGTATCCGATTTTTCAGCAGAATTGGCATCTTTATAAAAACTTTTAGTATTATCACATTCCGCTCTCAATGAAATCTCTTCCACATCTATTTCCTGCCTCGAAGTCGATAATTTTGCGGATGCGTCCACGCACATCTGGGACCCTATACTACCCGATCTCGACACTGATTCGCTGGTCTCGGAGAACGTGGAACTGGAATCATCCTCCTTGGAAGAAGTTTCGCTTTGCTCCTTATGGAAAGCATTGTGAAAGATGTTTTTCGGGATCGTTAATAATTTGGAAAAACTCTCCTTAGCGCGTAATCTATTGGATTTCTTCTTTCTCTTTTTCAAATCCGTTGTATGTGCCAAGAAAATATCTTTCGTAGCGTCCGCATTTGAAACAGTTCTTAACGTTCCAGTTTTAATGATTAAAGTAGCCTTCAAGGCGTTTTGAGACTCGTTTTCGTTGGTGTCTTCATTATTTGTTATTGCTTCAGTATCTAATGGAGCTTTCGGAGCGGGTTTTTTGTGATATTTTCCTGCGCGATTATCGCTGTCAAGATTACAACTTGATGAAATCGGCGTAACAGATCGCTGGATCGTAGTATCGTATTCTCTGGTCGGAGAATCGTCAACTTTCATTCCTGATACATTTACGTCATATTCCTTACCTTTGTCAATCGTATTCAACTTTTCTTGAGAAGATACGATGCTTGTCGCAATTTTATGCGCATCGTTCAACAATTCCTTCAGCTCATTGAACTTTTGTTGACATATTTCGCTAGTTGTTTGTTCGATGTCAGCATCAATATCGGGGTTTTGAGAAGAGTCTACCTGACCGGCTCTTGAATCTTTATCGTCATATTCAATTTGCATTTGAGACTCATCTTGCTGAAAATTAAGTTCTTTTATCGAGTTATCGACATTTATTTTATCTGCGCTTTCTGCTATTGCAGGTATCGATAGCTTTTCCATCGAGATATTCTCGATTTCTATAGTTTGCACCGTTTGTAAATCTACTTGAGCCGAATCAGTGTCTACGAATTCACCACTCGACTCCGTCGATGACGATTCGTTGTCTTCTATTTTTATCGCGGATTGATTTTCGTTTACGGATTCATCGATACAAGTCGCGATAGATTCAAGTATCGGACAATCTTTCGATTTGTTATTCTGAGAAAACAATAGCAGAAGCTCGATAGCTTGTTCGGGAGTGAGAACATTCAGGGACGACGGGAGGGAGATATTTTCAGGAGATGGAAGATCGATGTGGTTGAAATCCTCGCTCTTGTCCTTCAAAGACCACAAAAAAATACGTATCATTAACTGAGTTGACGAATATGTATGTCGGAGAGAATGATCCGTGATTTCTTTTTTTGCAATGTGATCGTGGCAATGATACAATTATTAATCTCTACGGTACACTTTATCGGCTTACTTCTGGTGTCTTTTTCGTGGTGGAACGAGGTTTCACGCGCGTTCTCGCGCCGACGCTCGACGTTCTTACTAAGCTGTCAACCTGAGAAGTAATGCGCTGAGACTGCAATGCCTCGCCGCTACTATAACCGCTAGATATGTCTTCCGAAGACCTTATATTTCTATGAGCGTAGGAAAGATTCGTTATTACTGATATTTACACAAATAATATAAATCATTTTTTTTGTAATGAATATGTTACGCACGTTAAACTAGCTATGGGTTCCCTAGGCCTTGGTTGTCGAACATCAACATCCACTTCGGAAAAATACATATCTACTCGAGACGCATTGCTGCTGGACTGGGTTCTGCGAGGGCTGTAGCCTCTTCTGCCGGTATGCTCTCTTCGACGAGGTTCTACTATATGTGACCACAGAAATTTATTTTTTTATTTTTTGATTAGTGCAATTTGGAGCTTTTTTAGCATATTTTGTTTCGATTTGACTTTGAATAAAACTTGATTAATAAAATTAATAATATCTGATTTAGATCTGCGACTGCGCATTCTAAATGAAATATGTGCCAAGATGTGAGAAAGAAAAAGTAGATGTTTAAAAATTGTTGCACTCATTAAAAATAATCATTTGTATTTTTCTAAAATGTTATATTTCTATTTAATTGCATGTTACGTTAGAAATCAGCTACCTTCCATGTCTGTCTCGTCACGCGCATCGGGTGTGTTTCTATTTTCATCCTCCTTTTCGCCGGTTAGATCACTGAGGCTGTAACTTTTTCTCAATTGTTGCACCAGTCCGCCGCCACCCTGGAAAAGGAAATCGCTCGTGAAAAATTTCTCGTTTCGTAGAGATGATGCGGCCAGCATATTACCTATCTATTGCGAAAAAAAGAATCAAGTCAGTGAAATATTTTGATTGAGATTAAGTGAAAAAAACAAAATAAAAATCTTACCAACCAAAAGAATGTTAATGTATTATCTGCCGTCACCGGTCACGAAGGCAAACTCCCTTTACGCCGGATTTTGACAATCCGAAGGCGATTTCTTGCTTTTTCCATATCGAGACACTTGTGTCTATTTGTATCTATCTTTCTGTTAAACATGCGTTGTCCAGAAGCACACGACGATAGACGGTATAGTGGGTGCATTGTATGCGTGAGTAATGTCTATATAACGCGTATAAGCGATTAGTTTTATTAACGTAAATTTATATTTTTGAAAAAGATGCGCTACTTCGTAAAAGAAAATTAATACTTATAATTAAATCTCGTTCAAAATACAGTGAGTGGCAAATAAAGGATAGAGGACGCGAGACGAGATGTACACAACAGAAACGGAGAATCGAAAGCTCTCATACAAATAATGCTTTTATTTGAAAAAAAAAAACAACTCATAATAATCGAAGTCTTTGGAATCGGGTACAAAAATCTTACTCGCTAAGACAGCTCTCGACGTTGCAAGAGCTCGCGCGTAGAAAAAACCACAGCAATAAGAAGGCACTGGAGGTATATACGGCCAGAAATTGTCTTTGTTGCCGCAAAGACAAAGACTGAACCTGTACGCTTTTCTTCGCGTATCGATTCCATCAGTTCATAACTGAAATATATGTAACGTATACGTGTTACAGTTAAAGCGTCCATTGTAATTGCTATAATCGTAGTTTTTCTCGTAAATAATCGTAGTAGTTTTGCGGGACAAACAATTATTTGCGCGTGACTATAATATATAATAAGTATAAAAGTAATTTAATTTTTACAAAAAGTTACACGTGTTTTTTTTTCAGTCTATGCGTCTCTATAAACGAGTCTTATCAAACAGCGAAGGACGTTTTGATCGGACTAGTCTATCCAAAGCGACAGGACACGTCCATCATCTGTTTGTTGACAACGCATAAGCTTATTGCTGTATTTCTCCCACGTGCGCGTATATCGCACGTGCATGAGACACGTGCAATCTAACGTAGATCCATGTTCATCGGTAACTTTGTAGATGAAACGCACATACGAATACACAAACACGTAAATAACTCTATCTATCACGACGACAATGATAACAATGACGACTATGCTATAGCACATAATCGTCTATCTCGTTGTACGTTATCGTTATTCGATTCTTAATTCCTGGCGATTAATTCTTGGCAAACAACTCCTTTTCCTGAGTTTCTAAAACATATCTTTCAAGACGTCTGATTTATCAAACACGCAGCATAATTCAAATACGGTAAGTAATGAGAAGCTTGTTTAAGCCTCGATTGCATCAACGGCGTAGATCGAAATAATCTAAATTAGAGAGTCGTTGTCTTTTTGTAAATAATAATCCTATTATATATGTTAAAGAGAGTTAGAAAAAGAAAATCTACCTAATCGAAGTCAGCATTAACTAACGTGTAATCGCTCTTGAGTGCTTATTAATTGTCCTAATGGCATTATTATATTTATTCATTATGTGCCTACATTATAAGAGATAAAAAACAATGATATGAAAAAATGTGTAATTGATCCTTATAATGCATTAATTACGTAGTATCTTTAGTCAATACTTTTGTTCTTAAATTTCTCTGATATGATCCGATCTCTCTGATTTAATAATTGATATTATTATTAACGCAATATTATATAAAAATATTAAGATATCATTGTGACTAAGATTACCTTACATTCCAGTTATATATAAGACACTCGAATACATAATCCTTATGATTCTTAGAATCGAATAAAGTTCACGTGAAAAAGTACAAATAATATACGCATAAAATAAGACATACAAGGAGTAGAAACGAGTCTTATTTTTGTCGAAAATGTGTATACAATTAGAAATTGTCCATACGTATCATATTCATTCTAAGGAGATTAAAGTTCTCACATCTTTAAAACAAAGATTACGAGATTATATAAAATCTACGTTTCTCATGTCTTTTACCTTATCAATATATTATATAAACTTTTCACCGCCAATATATATTGTACATAGTTAAACAATCACACACACAATGTAATTTTTATATTTACGAAGATAATAAAGAGAGTATATATATTCGTACTATTTAATGAAAATTTCTCATGAATTCGCGATTGGAAAATTCCGCTTCGTGAACTCGCGCATAAAAAGATGTAAAAGGAAAGCTTGATAGATTGCAAAAAAAAAAAAAAAAAAACAAATATCAAGATGAATTGCACAGTGTGCAGAAAATTCTGTCATCGGTTCTCAAAGCGCTCTCTTTTGCGCATAATTAAGTTTCTTACTTATCTTACTCATAATAATACAAATCAGCTGCAACCTCCTATATCTTTGATAAATTCGCCGACACATCCCAATATTATCGATCCATTGGTCTGCTTTCCAAGCTTCCGGTTTATCCTTACTCCACCATCTCTATACGGAATCATCCGTTTCTTGGATTAATTAACCTCGGCATCGTCGCTAAAATTCACATCATAATTCATCGAGGCCGATTTGCAGGCACGACTCTTCTGGCGCCTGGTGGCTTCAGTACTATCACGTGTCTTTCTTGATTTCCGCGTCTTCCGCGGAGCTTCCTTTTCTGGCATTTTGAACGTTACTGGCTCCTCGTCCGGCAACTCGTGATCGGTGTCCGTCGTCGGTAGCTCCTGCATTATCTCTTCGTCGTCGTCCGTCGAGTCGCGATGCTCCCAGTCGATGGACAATGCGTCTGCGTCGCCCATCACGAGATTATCAGATTTAGCATGTTGGTTGCAGATCGCATTGCCGTCCGGACAATCCGGCCCGTCCAGCTGCTGGTTGTTTAACCGCGTCGTCGTTCTGGTGTTGGCTAAGCTAGAAATCGCCGGGTCTGATTGGCGGTCGGGGAGTGCACTCGTCGTGTTCGGGAATACGATCGGGAGATTCTGTTGTGTAACGCCGATATCGCATTTTGTTTATTTATTTTTTTCATTTCGATCGGTCAGCAATAATCGGCGTATTCGTGATGATGATTATTATTATTTTTGTTATAGGTCAGTGATAGAATATTATCGTGTGATTGGCGACGATTCATAAGCAATGACAGCAGTTAAGACGTTGATCGGACGGTGGTTAAGTGCTCGATTTTGTCGTGCATGGTTTTGCGGATGGCGATGGTCGGTTTGTTTGTTTTTTGTTTCGATTTTTGATTAGGCAGTAAGACGGCGATGCGGCGGCGTGCGGGAACGCGGACGGGAGACAGAGAACGAAAACAGAAAAAATCAAAAACACGGAAAATCATTAGTGAGCGATAATTAATCGAGGACGGATCGATAAAAATTTTATGCGTGATCAATGAAAGCGAGAGGCTGGTTAAAATACGAGATCAAACAAGATAAAACATTCCTGTATACCGGCAGCCCTTTTTCCCAGAGTATAACAGAGAGCTTTCACATATATAAATTTTATATTTATATCCTCTGTATATAAGAAATAATTTAAATGTTAAATATAGAATAAGTTTCCAAAACGAAATTCTTCTTTAAAAAAGCTGCCAGCTCTTCTTACATCTACATGTAAGGGTGTCCTAAACTATCATTTTATCTTTTATCCAATTCTTTGAAATCTATGCGAGATTAATCGAAGAAACTATAGTTCTGGACACCCTGTACGACAACAATATATTTTTTTCAACGTTGGACCACGTGAGGCCAATTACCTTGATGGCGGTCTGCATGAGGACCGTGGTGGCATAGTTTACGCCCTTGGTACCAAGATGCAGCACCGCCGTGTAACCCTGCTCAGTCGCGCGTGCTATGGCTTCGTCGATCTCGGCTTCACGACGGATTAGTGCGGGATGCACGAAGCGTCGGTAAAGGATACTGGAGCCTTTAGTAGCCGGGCTCAGCAGCCATAGTACCAAGATGATTTTAATCTCATAGTAAAATGGGAACCTACGTAACAGACGTCGAGACGTGTAAAATGTCGCAGCGTCGATGCACTCACGCGAATTTTTCTTTCTTATTCGATTATTTATCCATTTATTTATAAAATCTATATCTATCTCTCTTCCAATATTAATATTGCAAATTATATAATTATTATAACAATATTTGTGTAAAAAATATTATAAAACATCAAATTATATAATAAAGAAATTTTAAAATTCGTTAAATCAATACAAACAAATAAAAATACTAAAGCCATCAGTTTGACAGCGATGCTCTTATATGAATTTTCAAGCAAATTCGTCATATTTTTATGTAATAATAATGATTAAAAAATAGCTAATCGCATACAATGTGCGCTTATAATCTACTTGATTCGATTCGCGCTGCGGAAAATTCGTCACGAAAGTGAAAGTGAGAGCGACTTGGAGAAAAGCGCGAATACCGGGAGGGTATCGGGCATTTCGACGCCAGAAATATGCGAATGTTTTCGTTTCCTTCTTGGTAATTCGAGTATGAAGGGAGATCTGGCACGATGCTCTCCGATGATGAGGAGGGAGACAGAATAGGAAGGAAGGACAAAGAGAAACAGGGGAGCGGGAGGGAAAAGGAGGCGCGCGGGCAGAATCCTCAGAAGTGCATGTAAGCCAATATCTATCTCATCCGAAATTAGACTTTCGGAATTCCTCGCGATGAGAGCGCGGCTTTCAGACCGCGCGGTTCGCAGCTGGTTTATTGGCCCCTTGCTTGCCTTCGCGCCACGACTCCAAGATTCATCTCAATATCCGCTTTATTATGCTACGTACACACACGGTCGCTATCGAATCAACGCATTGCTGTTTTCTATAGCGTGTCTCAGCTTTCATGCACTTTCTTTTACCTTCGGTATTCTTTAAGAAATTGATGGTTAACTTTCTTCCAATGGGAGATCCAGATAATTTTTAAATTACAAGCTCTTGATATATTATAGAATTCTCCGAATCAAGTTTGATATATGAATCAAAAGCAAATGATAATCCACAAACATCGAGATTTAAAATTAATATTTTAAATAAATGAAATTTGATGAAACAAATGTGTACCGTTTCGTACACAAAACACATTATATTTATAAAAATAACGTGGTAAATGCGTAATAGTAATGTAAATCTCACCAAAAACTAAAGAAGACATCGGTAAATGTTTCCGCGCACGTGAATAGCGCGAACACGATCCAGTACATCATCCATTTGACCTGAAATCAGAAAGATTCCAGAGCAATGGATTATTGCAAAAACAGCAGAGAAATATATTCTCGAATTAAAGTGACAAGGAAAAAATAAAGAAAAGATGCAAAACCTGTATAATTTATATTAATTGTTATCTAAACATACAAAGAACAATAAGATTTAAAGATAAAATTAAATTTTTTGATCAGGTTTCATTATTACATATTTCTCTTTCAGAGATTGTACTAAATACAAAATATTTATGACATCAGTTACATAATAACATAAATCAACCTCGATCTTCATCAACTACGAGCAAAAGATTAGTGTTGGAAAATTTCCGACATTTATATTGCTGGATAAACAGCAAATTTCCGCGGGCAAATGGTTTCATAACTTGCTGTACAAAATACATGTAATATGAGACGTAAATATCCATCAAAATCTATTGTATGAAAAGAATCTGGGATACGCAATTATGTAAAAAGTAAAAAATAGCTGTTAATTCCGCTTGATCGGAATATTAAATCAAAATCTACGAGATTTAATTGTTATTAAAAAAAAAACCCATGAAGATTATATATATATTTTCTAAATATTTACATATTTATATCTTTGTAATATATTAACTTTAACCAAAGAATTATTTTCATATCATTATTTCAAAAAGATAAGAATAATATATATATATAACGAAAAGTTTTAAACGTTTCTACTTTTAATTAAGTGCATACAGGATGTTCGGCTTAAAGGTAAAGCTATTTATTATTTATGTTTCTTTCTTACGTATTCCTTGACATTCTTCGTGCGCACCGCCTTGTAGGAAGCGTATGCTGGGTAAAGAGTGCCGAAAACTAATCTGAAAATAGGATAAACGAGCGTGTAAATTAGGGATCGCGGCGACATTATCGCCAAGAACACTGTCAACAATCCGACGTTGTTTAACGTCATTCTTATGGGAAACGTTTGCAGCCAGTGACGACACCAGGCCATCGTCTGTCTCGCCAAAAGATCGCTGATTCCCGCTCTATGAATCAGCGCAATTGGCAATTCGTCCGATCGTGGTTCGCTTTTATCGAAGATCTTTATCGTCGATCGATGGTCTTTTCTCGTTTCCATCGTATTGTCAATTTATTTCTCTCTATCTCTCTTTCTCTCTCGCGCTACGACGAGAACGTTTCTCTACTTCCGAAATCTTGAATTCTTCCGGAGATCCTGTGATGGTCGTCAGACGAGTACGACGAGTCCAGCTGCAACACAAAGAAACGGAAATTATTTGACGGATATCATCGACATATGTTAATAATGCAATTGCAAATATAGTAGATTCAATGTCTGAAAGAGTTAGTTAGATGAAATCGATATGAATATTTCAAGATCTATTTAGTGAAATCGATTATCGGATTTGTTAAGGAATTAACGAATAAGTCAAATAATTATAACTGTTATATAATAGAGTAACATAGTTTCATTTCGACTAAAATATCGACAAATGTAGACGTTAGTCTGGCAAAATCATTGCAACTTATCATATCAATATGAATCTATATTCAATTAGAAATCATCTTATATTATAATGGCATTTGAATATGTATATAAAAATAATCGACTATAGTTTCAATATAAATGATACGCTTTTGTATTTAAATTATTGTAGATCTAATTTTTAAAATTTTACTGAAAAATATTTACATTCACAGTTTATTAGAATGTTGTGCCTCCGTGGAAGCACAGCGAATTTTTAGGGATCGTTGGCCAAATTAGAACTAAGGAGTTCGGGATCCTGCAGGGTCGTTCCGCCGTTGTAGTAAATATGTAGTTTGAGTAGAATAAAAATCATTTATTTAGTTACATCGACTTTAACTCTTCTTTTCCTTTGCGCACTTTAACTTGGCTTATCGCGGTATAGAGTTACTTCGCGTGTCTGATATCGCGGTTGCCGTCGCGAGATCAGCTGGGACGTTCTTTATTATTAAATCGTTTACGTTAGTCTGTCTCGTGGTTGCTATTGTTAATTTATTCGCACTACGTAATTGTATGATTATAACTGGTTCGTGTGATTTTGTGATTAGGACTGCCTAGCGCTCGTTCGAGGTGGGTAGTTTTATCACCTCCTGTTCGATTAATTTTTTGGAGGGGATCGCTTAGCGACAGGACCATAGGTGGTCATGTCGCTTGATTTTAGGTGGAATAACCCCGGATGCAAGCTACATATATTCTTTGCTTGCATTTCCGGCGTATCGTTCTTCGAGTCTCGCAAACGCGTGGCTTGCTTTGTCAGCGCTTGCGCTCGTAACTTTATACGTCTTCCTCGGCTTCGAGTTATAGTCGGAAGACGTTAAATAATATTTAATAATTAATAATTATGCTAATTTGGTTATAGCCGTTTTGGGCTATAACAAGAAACTATAGTTTTTCAATATTATGTTTGCATCCCATTAAAATTTCAAACATGTCATTGTGCATTCTAACAAAACGTAATGTTCGCATCATAAAATATTTAAGCTATTCGATCGAGTGATTAAACGGTTTTGGATGATGGCATTACGGAATGATCATCGAACTCGGAATTCCGGAGTAACGCTTTCGATTGAAGCGCAGTCATCCATCAATTAATGTCTGCCTCGACTGCAGCCTGCGGCTCGTTTAAGGGATTGTGCAAGAAGCTTATTATGGAGATTCAATTAAACACACGATATCGCCGATCCGTCATGCGTATCTTTTGAGAGATAAGAGATTAAATATAATTCATAATATAAATACAGAAATTGCTCCTTGAATATTTCTTTATTTATATTTCCAAGCATTATTTATGCAAGTTTCTTGTCGTTGCATCATAGTGTTATAGTATGATCGTACATATTGTAGAAATGAATTTTATACTACATTAAAAAATAAAATAGAAAGATAAATTAAATTAAAAGATAAATAAATTAAACTGTTAAATCACCGATGATACTCGCCGTACCTTTAAATCAATTCTATGATATATTATTTTAATGCATATTTTATAATACATTTGTGCACAAAAGGAATTTTTAATATTTGTTTTTAATGTAAATTATTTATGAAGTTTAATTATCTATCCAGTTTTTTAAACTATTTTTGAATTGAAAACTATTTCTTAAACAAGAATTTTAGTATACTACTTAAGCAAATCGTCATGTAAATTACACTAAATAATTATTGCTCACTAATAATTTGATACATCAGAAATTCTTTAACAAATTATTTCAGAAATTTTTATAATGATTTTTAATAGATATAATAATTCCTTCTTACAATTCAATCGGTTCCGTCAGATTCATCCGAGCGTCTCGTCTCCTTATCGTTGCTTATTCGTCTCTATCGCGTGCGAAACGCTTTGTCAGTTCCTTCGTGTCAAATTCTAACAAATCTTTTTTTACTTCACGTTATCGTCGTGTGTTTTTGTTTTCCTTCGAAATTAATTCCTTGCGCGTATCTGAAGTCAAACTCCAAGTACACCGTGCCACTCGCTCTACTCGCGATTGCTTCCAGTTTGAGACTAAACGCGTAGCCTCGTTCGTTCGGGCATCGTCAACGACGACGACGACGACGACGATGAGCAATACAGAGGCCGCTGCAGAGACTATTTTCGCGTCTTAAGCCGCTGTCACGCTCGCATCTCTAAACCAACGCGACGCGACATCCGAAAGACTTCAGGTTAACCGCGACTTCCTCGCATGATGATTTACCTGTGTTTGCGGCGCGAGTACTGTGAAACTAATCCCCACATTCGTTCTTTCAACCTTCTTCAATCGGGTCAAAGCTGTATACATGTTTTGTACATCGAGGTAAACAAAAATTATCGAGACGATTAAGGAAAATATTATTTTCGAATAGAAATTATTCCAAGAACTCTACACCCTTACACAGATTTATCGAGTATTTTGCAACCGATAATATTTAATTGGATACTGTATATAATTCACAATCTTTCATAATCTTTTTGATATATATATTCAAATTTCAAATAAAATTTTTATCGCAACTTAGTCGAAAATGAGAGTAGAAAAACTAAGGTTTTATTATCTACATAAAGTTTCAAAGTTTAATTATACAAATTTTTAATTTTTAATCACTTGCAACTGCAAAGTTCTTTAAAAATGCTTTTCATTTCAAAATCATTAAAACTTATTTCTGCTCCAAATAGATCAAAGAAATTGTAGATAAAAGGAAGCGCGAAAAACTTGGAATATCCTGCGTAATATATTAAATCAAAAATGTTCAAAACTCTCTTTCTGAAATGTCTTTCGTATAAAGAGTTAAAAGCGTTTATGACCACGATGTATTTAGAGTGCACGACCGTTTTCCCGCGAGTGGGTCATCTCCGGACGCGCCAGAGAGCGATGAGTTAATTATATGCGCCAACCTAGATATCATGTCGGTCAATCTGTATCAGAATAAGGATCGTGATCGCTTAATTTTCTCGACCAATCTTCAAATTTAGTCAAATAAATTTTGCGCGCAAACTCAACGTGTCGGTGTATCGTTTTATCTAAGCCAGATCGTGATTACGATCGGGCAATATCAATAATTTTAATGAATATCGCACGCGTATAAAATAACACGTAAGTCATGTGGGAAATATAACGCGAACATTGTTTCTCCTAAACACGACATGCAAATATATGATATTCTCTCGAAAGTTTCGACAGCACTCTAGAGGCCTCTAAAGTCTGTGGAGAATAAAATTAAACAGCGCATAATGCATAATAGCTATAACTTGTGTTTATAACTTTGGGAACTAATTTCGTACGTTATTTGTTGCTTAATCAAATTTCATTTTATACAATAAAATTTGGGAGAACGATACGTTTGTTCGTGTTTGATTCCTTTCAATCGGAGTAAAAATTTCCTCGTGCGAGGAAAAACAACAGCAGCGAGTTGTCAAGTCGCTTCGTCGCGTCAGTCAAGCGAATTAAATTAACGCGTTAGCATCAATTATTCACAGATCGCGAGAGCGATAGAGAGGCTCGCGACAAAAATTAAAACCGGTATACAAGAGAGAGTGCGATTTTCTATGCCGGAAGAATGCGTTCCTTAACAACACAATCTTACGTTATTCAACTCGATTTCTCTATTGTCACAAAAAAACTAAAAATTCTTTCTGTTTTGTGCTATATTAGAAATATTTGTCAATATTTTAAATAATATCACTATATTAGATTTTGAAAAATATCGCAATAAATGATGTAATATATATAATAAATTTCGCAAAATTTCTCTTTATCTCGGTAAATACACAGTGAATCCTGTTATCACTATTATTTTGCGCGGCATATTTTTTTAAATAATTAAGATTAAGATACCGACAATTTTATGTATATATTGCTAACACAGAATGCAAAATACACTTTACACTCATAATCGATGGATCTGTCACGCGTGATACGTTATTACACCATCGACGTCGCGCGAAAAACTGAGCAAAATCTTCGCTCGGCCTGCGATCCTACGAAACTGCAAACGATCGCCTGCAGTCGCAGGTAATTCGATGATTGTCACCAATGTCGCTCTGTCATGGATTACGTAACAGGTCGTTGCTAATGCGCAGTCCGCATCGCTCGTTGCGCGAACACAATTGTTCTCGGGCGCATTATTCACGCCCGGCCGCTTCCGGTTCCGATAAACGAAATGACGATACGCGAGTCGTCCTTTCGATTCGTTCGTGGCGTATCAGGACCCAAGGAGTTAGCCGACTGGCAATCGCGCGATAAGACCACGACGATTTACGACCGTTGCGATTCCACACACCGTGGCCATTTACGAAATTGAATGTCCACCTACTAGTTCTGCTGTAAGATTATCTATCGACCGGATATCTCATAAAGGAAGATCCTGCTACTTTTATCCTGTCTTTTTGTCTCTACTTCACTATTATGTGTGTTCGCTTCTTTCAATCATACATTTCCGTCCGAGCGAGTTTGTCAAAATTTTTATTACCTCTTTCTCTAATCTCTTTATTCGAGAAATAATATTCGCAATGTGAAATAAATTTTCAATTTAATACATCTATAGAGAATACTTTGAAAATATAGTTATATATTTTTATCTATATATTTTATTATCATTTTGATATCCATTTTCTATAAACTTTAAAATTATCCTCGTTAAGTTAGTACCCCCACTACAACAAATTAAAATAAAACATATGTCAAAATTAAGTGCTATTTAGGTGCTAATTTGGTGCTCTATTCCTGATTTTGGTGCTCGAACTATTTAGCAGGAATTCATGATTTAAAGTGGAGGGGCTAGTTTTCATCAAGCTAGCACCCCCATTATTAAATATTTGCACAAAATCCAAAAGTAAATATTTCAGAATTAAATGCTTTTTAAGTGCTTTCAAAAGTAATTAACAAAATCTAGTTATTTATTATAATTTAAAATATTTTAGCTAACAAGGACAAAATATGTATAAGATTTGCTGGCTTTTTATTTTTAAAAAAACACATAAAAAAATGATAAATTTTTTCAAAAAACATGTTATATTTATTTGCATCGATATGATTACACTTTTATATACCTAAAAACATTTTTGTTTTTCAATTTTGGGATTTATTAGATAATATATGCCATAAGGAAATAAATGATACGCGTATAACACGCGCTTTGTAATATTCTAGTAATATAAATAATAGAATTTATCATTAAGTTTTCGAACTGGCTTTTGTGAAAGATTGATCGAATTTGGGATCGTGGTTCGAACTTATCGTTCGAAGCGCGTGTCACATACAGCGTCGAGTCGATTGTGCGATTCTATACGATTGTTAACGCCATATACGCTTTCATGTTTATTAATGACGACCCATGCAACTTTTCTCTACCGCGGCATAGGTATAAACACGGTGGTCTTGGTCGCAAGAACAAGATTATTCGTATGTATCGCGAGGTCAAGATCATTGTCGTTCGTTTGCGCATAGCCTGAATTCCGTCATGCTTCGTTTAACCTGGACTATGATCTTCAATGTGATACCAAAGTTTTCGATACTCTGTTTTTGATATGAATCTTATATATTGTACAAAATATCCAATCTTTAAAAGTGCGTTATATAAAATTTTAATAATTTTTCAATATATTTGCAATGTGGATTTTTCTATAACGAAATATTAATGAAAAGTTATTACTTAACACTTTTAAATTTACAATGTTAAATATTTCGGCAGTCTTAAGCTGTAAATTTCTGTTAAAAAACATTTTGCGCGTATTAATTAACAAATCAAATTTCGACATCTACTTACTTATTTCTTTTTTAATTTGCAGTATCAAATAATCTGAAATTTTTATTAAGACAAGATACATTTCACATTATGTAAAAAAATATCAATATATTAATGTTCACAAATTATTTAAAAAATAGATACATAGTAAAATTATTTTATGCAAAATTAAGAATAAAAATATATTAGAATTATACTTAATTTTTATGAGAAATGATACACTAAAAATCAATCAGAATAACATCAAATGTATTATTTTATTGTTTTTACGTATTCACTCAACCGAAAGAGCTAGTATTCTATCTTTTTTTTATTATAACAAGAGAAAAAATATATAACATAGATATACTGCACGGAAGAACCTTGCAAGAAATACGTGCAAGGTTACTGACAAACTATAAATGGAGCGGTGGTAAGATCTAATGGAGAATAGTTATTGTTTTATATTGTCGAACAAAATTTAGTTTACCATTGTATGCCGTCATCGAGTTACTATGCAACCATTGAGAGTTAAATAAATTCGATACACTGAATTTTTCGCGAAAGAAATTGTTCGTTGTACTCAAGAAACAATTAATAACATTAAACCTTTCGTTATAATAAAATTCATGTAGAAGATATCTCATGATTATCAATAAATTTCGTAAATTTATTTTATAAATATCGTAAATTTTAAATAATAAATGAACTAATTTTAGAGATATCTTTAGATATCAGCTAGTTTCAATTCAATCATTAGAATCTTATATTATTAATGTCACATTCGCGCGTTATTTATTTAATACAGTGTTATTGAGTTCATTTCCTTCTCTAAACTGCGTATATAACATTACCAAAAATATGTATAACAAATTATATTATACGAATTAAAGCGGTTACGATTCCACGCTCAAGGTTGTTATGCAGGAAGTACGCAACGAGTATCTCTCGTACAATCTTATACAATATAATATCTTTCCAAGTAGATAGGAAATCTTTCTTCATAGCATACCATTCGGATACATTCTAGAAACATGTGCTGTTTCTTCATTATTGATACTGTATTGAAATAACGATATACCGAGATTATTTTCGTCGTATTTTTATAATTGTATCATATGTGTATTTCAAGTGCGCACTAATTGAATTCCACAAAAAATAGAAAATATTCATATATATCATAACATAATCTGCAACATATTAAATGCAAAAACAAAAGGTGTGAAGAATTTCGCCTTTTTCTTTCCCGCTCCGTGATCTTATATGTTTTACATAAAATATTTCAACGATCGAGAGATTTCTTTCTTCAATGCAATGCTTGTTTCCAAATACAATTTTATTTAGCGTGTAATATATATATATACAAATTATTAAAAGCTTCTAAAAGATATAACAGTATTATGTTGAGATTAGGAACTTTGTCCCCCATTCATTGTCGTTTATTTTACAATATTGACATTTTATTAAAAAAAACGAAGATGTAAAAATATTAGGAATATTAATTTTATTATATTAAACATTGTGTATAACAGCTATACTTGAAATTAGGAACTTTTACACTTTTACGTGTCGGTCTTATGATTTGTATAGAATTTTCAAATATAAGAACGAAAGGAAATCACGGATTAATTTCATTTATCACGAAATAATTTTTTCGCTAAAATCTTTCATACGATATAATAGATATATTCGCAATTAAGAACTCTTTCATTTTCCCGGGGCGCTCTCATGACTTGGATGTGATTTTCAGAGGCGACGGTAAAAAAACCACGGATACCGTGTTAACGACCGTTACTCGCTTAAAAATCGGCGCGTGAAAATTGCGCGAATAATGCACAACCGTTGGAACGAGCACAGGTGTGGCTCGTTTAGGTGGCAAGAAGCATGTCATGTTGGTTCGTTCAGCAAAATTCTATCAAAAACTATGGAGAAACGTCAAGGCAATTCGACACGCGCAAAATTTCTATCTGGTCTGGAATCATGAAAGAAAGAGAGAAAGGAAAAGAGAGAGAGAGAGATAAAATAATGACCTGAGTGTGCCTTGAAAGCGACGTTCCTTGTTAAGACAAACGAAAAATTGAGACAGAAGCCTCGTAAAAATGCTCCTCGGAATCGGTGCAAAAGCAATGTGCACAACAATGACCTCAATTGCAACCGTTTGAACCGTTCACCAGCTGATCATCTATTAGCAAGAGGCAGTGCGGGCAGAGACAGAGCATTAGCTAGATTAGAAAGTACAGATTTCATCCAGCTAAAGTGGCTCGCTAAATCTAGCAACATCAAAATGCTTCTGGAAGAGGTCGACCTATCTTTCTCTTATCAGAATCGTCCTCTCATCGATTTTCCTAGATTTACGATTTATCTTAAATACATCGAGTGATTAATCCTAACCGACTGAAATATTTCCGCTGTTCCCTTCCCACCGATTCCCATTAATTCATCTACATTTCGCGTGCATATCTTATTTTTTAACATAACATGCCCATAATTCAATGAAAGATATTTATGATAGTGTGTCTGCATGCATAAAAGCGCTACATGTAACTATAGGATTTATTTATCGTACACTCAGCGCAAAATATTGCCATTTAATTCTCTTGATTCGTCATATAGTATCCAAGAGAAAATATTAATTGTAAAATTTAATACCAATAATATTATAATTTATATAATATATATTTATATTAATTAAAAAGAGAGAGTATTTATAAAAAATTATGCTATTATATGATAAGTAAATTTCAAATCTTTTCTCATTTAACTTATAATTAAAAAAATAAACGCGATATCCGGTACATACATACGATCGCGAGAAACTAAGCCTCTCGATATCGGTCTTTGTTCTCGCATAGAAATTTACAAGGAGTGTATCCTTTGGACTTGCTCTCGCACGAGATAGAATTTACTTTCTCTCGACCCGATTGTCGCGCTAGTTCGCTACCGCCTTTTTTTT